GCGCCGCGCTGACCGGCGCCGCCGCGGCCGGCGGCGCGCGCGTCTGCTGCAAGCTGAGCTTCTGCGCGGCCTGCGAGCCGGGCTCGGAGAACGCGCCGGCGTTCGCGTGCGCGTGCTGCGTCGCCGAGGGCGCCGACGCGGCGAAGCGGCCGCCGCAGAAGTGGACCAAGGCGCCGGGCGCGGCGAAGCGGCCCCTCGCCGAGGCCGCGGCCGCGGCGCCGGCCGCCGCGGCGCCGCGGCCGCCGAAGCGGCGCGCGTCGTCGACGGGCTCCGCCGCGGAGCTCCCCGCGGCGGCCATCGCGCGGCTCGTCGACCTCGACGCGGCCCTGATCGTGGCCCAGGCCAACCCCAAGGCCGGCGCGAGCCGCGACCGCTACGAGGGCTACAAGGCCGCGGCGACGTGCGGCGCGTTCCTCCGCCTCGGCGGCTCGCGCGCGGACCTGCGCAACGACCTCCTCAAGGGCCACGTCGCGCTCGCCGGCGGCGTCGACTGGCGCGCGGACCCGCGCCTCGCCGACCTGCTCCCGCCGCCGCCGGCCGCGGCGACGCCCCGCGCGCCGCCGAAGCCCCGCGCGCCGCCGCCGGCCCGCGCGCCGCCGGCCGCGGCCGTCGACCTCCGCGGCGACGGCGCCCGCGACGTCGTCGCCTCCGCGGCGACGGCGCCCGCGACGTCGTCGACCTCCTCTCCGACTCGGACGACGACGACGTCGCGGTCGTCGCCCCCGGCGTCGACCCACGCCCCGGCCGGGCGCCCGCGACCGCGCGCCCGTCGTCACGGCGACGCCCGCGGGCGCCGCGGCGCCGCCCGCGGCGCCGCCGTCCGCGGGAGGCGTCGCGCGCCGCGTCGCCTTCGCGGCGACGCCCGCGGGCGCCGCGGCGACGCCCGCGGGCGCCGCGGCGCCGCCCGCGGCGCCGCCGTCCGCGGGAGGCGTCGCGCGCCGCGTCGCCTTCGCGGCGACGCCCGCGCCGCCGAGCCCCGGGGGCGCCGCGCCCGACGGCCGCCGGGAGGCGAAGGCGCGCGTCGCCGCGGCCATCGCGCGCGCGCGGCGCGCGGGCCTCGCGGACGCGATGGCCGGCTACGACGACGCGTGGATCGAGGCCAAGCTCGACGAGTCGCGCGACTACGGCGACCTCGCGCGCCACGTCGAATCCTACGTCGCCCAGGCCGTCGCCGTCGTCGCCGCGCGGGCGCCGCCGCCGCGCCAGGCGCCCGTGCCGCCGCCGCGGTCGAGCTACGCGTCGCCGCGGCCGCGGCCCGCGGCCCGCGCCGGCGCGTCGGCGCCGTCGGCGCGAGACGCCGCGGAGGCGGCCGCGCGCGCCGCGCTCGGAGCGGACGACGGCGACCGCCTCGGCGACGCGCGGGCCCCGGAGCCCGCGCGGCGGTCGAGCACGCACGCGGGCGTGGAGGCCGAGGAGGCGCTCCCGGCCGCGGCGGAGGCCGAGGAGGCGCTCCCGGCCGAGGCGAAGGCCGAGGAGGCGCTCCCGGCCGAGGAGGAGGCCGAGGAGGCGCTCCCGGTCGAGGAGGAGGCCGAGGAGGCGCTCCCGGTCGAGGAAGAGGCCGAGGAGGCGCTCCCGGCCGAGGAGGAGGAAGCCGCGGGCTCGCCGGCGGAGCCGCGGCCGCGGCGCTCGATCGACGCGGGCGACGCGGTCGAGGCGCGGTGGCGCGGCGGCGACCGCTGGTACCCGGGGCTCGTGGTCCGCCGCGCGGGCGACGCGCTCGACGTGCGCTACGACGACGGCGACGAGGAGCGCGGCGTGCCGCGGCCGCTCGCGCGGCCGCTCGCGCCGCGGCGCGGCGGCAAGCGCGCGGCGGCGCCGTCGGCGGCGCCGTCGCCGCCGCGGCGCGGCGGCAAGCGCGCGACGACGCTCCGCATCT